CAGGCTTGACCAACAACTAGGGCACTGGTCCATAAAAACCCTTTCTAAAAATAGGAATATTTGTAGCAGCAATGCTTTCTTTAAGCATCTGGATACAAGTCATTGCAAGACCATTCCAATAAATTTTAGTTATTAACTATATCTTACAAAAACAAACAAACCAACCAGTCTACGCATAAATTTATTTTCCCAAATATGGGAAAAACAATGTCCCACATGGTAGCATCCTGCAATTGTCACACTGATGCTTATACCTGAACCCGTCTGTGATCAGGCATGCCACACTCAGACCAGTTCGCTCAGTAATCCACGTGGGAAAATAAAGAACGGAAACACCGCAATAGGAAAAGTTTTGGAGCTAACACGATCACATCAGAAAAGGCGCATTTCGTAAGATTCATTACCATGGCCCAGAAAGACCTTGGAGAGGCCCTTCGCAGAACAGCAAGCCCGCTGCGTGTGGAAGGCAGCCCCGGGAAGGCGCTGCAGAGCGCAGAGCACAGGGCGCCGGCAGGGAGAGGAGCGACAGCCCCGTGCGCTCGGAGAGGAGACTGCTCTTCAGCAAGCTTCCAGCAAGCGGCGTGCAGCAAGACCGCCAAGGTGCGCGAGCTCCCGGAGACAGGCAGTCTCTTTTAAGACGTCCTGTCAGCTGGGAAGCCTGTTCTTGAATGTTATCACCACACGTTCCGCCTCCTGTCTNTGCAAAGTCTCTTTTAAGATGTCCTGTCAGCTGGGAAGCCTGTTCTTGAATGTTATCACCACACGTTCCGCCTCCTGTCTGCTATAAACATGTCATCTGGCTGCAATCGGGCACCACTCCTAGATTCTGACATTAGTGTTGTGTTTAAGAATCTCTTCCCAGCGTTAGCCGGGTGCTGTTCAGCACCACAGATAAACAAAACTGTTTTCACTGGCTGTTTAGAACGTAGGAAACACCAGCAGAGAACAGCAGGCCTGAGAAGGCCCGCGATGTGTCAGAGCACACCGTCCTCAGCGCTCCAGCTCCTCTATGATGGCACTAGGGACGCCAAGGGTAAACGCGGGGGGCTCGGCTCCACCCCTAAGCCCACCTCCCTTAGCCTTGCCAGGCATATACAAGAGAAGGGCCTTAGTCTTCAGGGTAGTGTTTCATAGATTAGAAAATAAATAATTCTGTCACTTGCTCCCCCCTTCTCAGAGTTTGTGCAACCAAAACTCACATGGTGATCGTGAGCTCACACTGCAGAGGTGAGGAAACGGTGGAGGAACCGAAGAGAAGGGTGACAGTCCCAACTCACACAGCTCCTGTCCTCAAGCTGTTCTGGGTTCAGCACATCTCCATTCACATTTGTGGGCACCTGGGTGGCTCTGACCCTCCCACTAGCCTCTCCAGGTTTCTTTTAACTGTGGGATTGCATGGCAGGTGGCCCACATTTTCGAAATATTCTAAGTGCATCACCTCACTGACTCTCAGAGGGGCTATTCCTATTCCCAGCCATGCACTTGTCTGAAGTGCGCACACTGTAGTAGGCGGGCGTACAAGGGGGGTGTCTCGGGGAGGCTAATTTGTTTTAATCGCCGTGGTGCTGACTCATTCAGCAGACTGCTTCCTCTGAACTTCAGATCACTTTGTCATATTTTCATGGAGTACACACTTTTTCACTTTACTGTACTAAATGAGTTAGAAAGAAATCATGGTGCAGCTGCTGAAGAAAATGGTACGGCAGCTCCTCAAAATATTAGAGATGGAATTACCTTACGGTCTAGCAATTCCACTTCCAGGTATATACCTAAACGAACTGAACGTGGGGACTCAAACGGATACTTGCACACCTCTGTCCATAGCAGCATTATTCAAAAGAGCCAAAGGGGAAAGCAGCCCAAGTGCCCATCAAAGGATTCAAGGATAAACAGAATGGGGTCTATACATATACAACGGGCTATTACTGGGCCTTATAAAGGAAGAAATTTCTGTCACGTGCTACTGTATGGATGAACCTGGAAGACATTATGTTATGAATGTATGATTCCACAGTGTATGATTCCACGTACACAAAGTACCTAGAGTCATCCCATTCATGGAGATAAAAGTAGAACGGTGGTTGCCAAGGGCTGGGGAGAGAGAGGAGTCCCCGGGGAGTCATTATTTGACTATATGGATGTGGTGTTTCAGTTTAAGAAGATAAAACATGTCTGAAGATGACCAGTAGGGACGGTTGTACAACAGTGTGAAAGTTCTTAACGCCACTGAACTGTACATTTAAAAATAGTTAAGATTCATGGAGCAGTCAGACGAATTTCAGAGGGAAGGTAGGGGTGAGGTGTGGGGGGGGAGAGATTAATCAAAGAACTTAGATGCATATATACATGACCTATGGACACAGACAATAGTGTGGAGAAGACCTGGGGGGGGGGCAGGGGTGGATGCCAGGTGGAGGGGATCAATGAGGGGGAAAAAGGGGGACATCTGTAATACTTTCCACGATAAAGAAAAAAATATATAAAAAAATGGTTAAGATGATAAAATATGTTATGTATATTTTATCACAATTTCTTAAACTATTAATCACGTAGAAGAAAATGTTTCTGAAAAAAATATGAAAAAAAGTCATCCCTCTTCTGGGAGCAAGTATTTTAAAAATCCATGACAATGAGGCAGACATAAAGCCAAACACTGAGACACAACAGGCCAGAGAAAAAGCCTTTTGACCTCAACTGAATCTACACAGCACTCGCAGCTGTGTCTCAACCTTGCTCTCATTACCACACCACCCCCCAAGGAGACTTTTTAGACATTTTTTTCCAAATTGTCCCAATGAAAGTTTAAAACCACAGATATCCTATTATCTGTTAATATACTAACGAATGCTAAAATGTGTCCAAAAGTCTTACACCAACATTAAAAATATCTGCACACTGCTAAACATCTAAACAAAAAGTGGGACATTCACGTCTAATGTCTTCAGATACCTGGAAATTGCCATTGTGTGAATATAACATGTAGGTGATTAACAAAACTTTGAGAAGTTTAATTTAGATGTTTGGTGTCATGTATAGAGAACGTAGCATTGCCACTGTTGTTTAACATAGCCATGACATAATTTATTTTCCTACATTAGTGATTTTCAACCTTTTCATCTCATGGCACACATAAACTGGTAAATTTCTGCACCGCATTAAAAATTATATTTTTTGCCAAACTGACAAAAAGGTATAATTTTGATTCAATCATGCCAAACAGCTATTGTTGTGTTGGCTGTTGTCATTTTTTTAATTTGACAATCTAAGGGAAAAGAGGTCAGTGTCCCTGACTAAACTGTCAGATATTGCATGTTTTAAAACTTTTTGCAGCACACCAGTTGAAAATTGCTGTCCTACATGGTAAAATGACATATGTAGATTTCACAAAAAACTCCAAAATTTTTCTTATTAACTGGATCTTAAGGAGCCTTATAATTCTGCAACTCAAAAGGTGGACTTAGGGCCAGACACATCAGGATCACGTGGGAACTTGCTAACAATGCAGAATTACAAGCCCCACCCCAGGCTTACTGAAACATCTGCAGTTCAACAAGATCTGCAGGTCATCCTGATGCACATTTACATTTGGGGAGCACTGCCTTAAAAAACAAGCATCTAAATTGTTCCTTAACTCATCACAGAATTTTATTTTTTAACCATCCCAGTAGACTTATTACTCCACTCACCTTATACTAAAGGGCCTATGGAAGAGGCAAACTAGAAAAGAACTGTGTAAAATTAAAACCCACACACACAGACCAGATATAAAACACACACATTTCTTTCCGGGGGCTACCTCTGAAAGAAGTTAATTCCGATAGTTAAATCGCTCTGCAATAGTGGGGATGGTAGAACGGTGAATGGGTTTACCAAGTGCCCGCAGCTCCTCTCTTCCGAAGCAGCGGCAGTGGGCCCTTCACCAGAGGGGTGACCAGGAATGCTCTTCCAGGCAGAAGGAAATATCCCGAGCAGAGCAAGGTGAACAAGCAGCGGGATTCCCCTTTATTTATAATCCAGCTGTTGTGTCCAAAACTGGCTTACTAAGAGGCTGCCTCTCCCCAAACATTAGCCCAACCACTCCCATCAATTCCACCAGCTTCACTCTTTGAGGAATGAAAGATTTTCCTGCAGTCTTCTTAAACTGTGAAGGGTTAGGAGTTTATCGCCTAAAACGTTATCAGTTAAATCTCAGCAGGGAGTAGATGGTAGCCAGGTGTGCACTAGTGAAAGAGAGGGACCCTAGGGAATTCAGAGCCCTGGATAAAGGTTGACCCATCCTCACTGTACCTCTGTTGATAGCCCAGTGGCCTGGTGGCAAGGGCACTGGCTATGGGGACCAGCCCCCTCAGATTCAAATCCAAGCTCTGCCACTTACTATCTGGGGGACCCTGAACCAATAGCCCGATCCTTCTAAGCGTCCATTTCCTCACCTCTAAAATAAGGCTAATTATGTCTACTTCAGATGCTATTAGGAGGGCTAAATGAGATCTTGCTGGTCAGCTCCCAAAATAAATGTTTAATAAATGTGAATTCCCTATCCACTAACTTCCCCAAGGAGCATAAAATATTTTCATCCACTAAGTTTGGAAGGAAAGTGTTTTACCTCACAGATGGTACCAAATTAAAGGAACAGGAAGTGCTTTCATCAGAAACCACACATGCTAGCTTTTATGAGCATCTTCACAAAAACCGCGGGGGTAATGAGGTTCTCGGAGTCTGCTCAAGATTACATAACCCTGAAACTGTCAGTCAGCAGAGAGCTGAATTCCCCTCTGAGATGTATTATTCATGGAATACAGTGGAAATTCAAATTGGTTAAAAAGATGCTAAATCACCAAAAAAAATCTTAGTTCACAAGAAATCACAGTAAAATGCCTCTCTATAAGTGATTGAGAAGATCTAAGAATCTTAGAAATTTTAGAAACCATCCCACTGCCCACTTTGACATGACTACATCCGCCAAGGCCCAGGTAACATCTGGAAATATCCACCTTGCTCACCCTTCAGAGTCCAGCATCAGGCCAAGAAAGCCAAAAGGTGCCATTCTGCCTCCTGATCTTCCTCTTAGCCTGGGGTGGTGGGGAATCAAGAGACAGAGAGATCAGTAACAGCTATGAGCCAAAAGGAAATGGTTTTCTCAGGAGCAATTCATCGTGGGTCTCAGAACAATGATAAAATCTTTCCCCTTGGTAGCTCTCCAAGGCTCTTTAACTTCTAAGAGTGTTTCTTTAGTGTTCTGAGNGTTTTCTCAGGAGCAATTCATCGTGGGTCTCAGAACAATGATAAAATCTTTCCCCTTGGTAGCTCTCCAAGGCTCTTTAACTTCTGAGAGTGTTTCTTTAGTGTTCTGAGTGCAGAATGGCTTTCAGGATAAAGTAAAATGAGAGAGGTTTGCCTCTATGTCCTCAGAAAAAGTCTGTATCTAGACAACTAAATTATGCTGACCATGGCCATCACTTCCATGCTGTAGANAGAAAAAGTCTGTATCCAGACAACTAAATTATGCTGACCATGGCCATCACTTCCATGCTGTAGAGGATGCCACCAGGTGTTCAGCATTATGTGTGCTGTGCTCTGATTTCTTGTGCTAACTCATCCCAGACGGACGCTTCTATGGGCCCAGGGCTCCTCGCCTGTACCCTGCCCACCTGTGTCTTTAGCCTACGCAAGATATTACAATGCAGAGAGATGGTGGATCATACACTGTATTCTGAAGCCACATAAAAAGTTGTCANTAATGCAGAGAGATGGTGGATTGTACACTGTATTCTGAAGCCACATAAAAAGTTGTCAGGGTCATCAGCGTGTTTAAATGATCTGTGTAGTTGATCCCCTCCTCTACCAGGGATTATTGTGGGCAGTGAATAAGCTTTGGAAATTTTTCTCTCCTTTTATTGTCTAAAAATGTACGAAGAGAAGCAAGAAAATATTCCACCTGACCAGATAATGTATTCAGATGTCAGATTTAAATTGGGGGAATATATATTACCAAGAGCTCAAAATTTACATATTAAATGTCATCCTCTTTGGGACACTCCCACCCCATGACAACCAGTTCACTAATCCCTCCTACCTAGAAACGTGCTTTTATTTGCCCCAAATCCCTTAAATACTTTATACAGATTGTTATAAATCTGAGGGTCCCACCAAGTCATTAAATTTCAGGTCTCCCTCATTCACAAAAGGGTCTTGTCATATTTGTCTTTAATATTACAGAAGTAATATAAGGATCAGTGAGAACATGATATAACACATTTCCATCTACTCGGGGATGTTTTTTCATAAAGAAATAATTTTATGCCTACCCTTGGTGAGAAACTGTATCGTTAAGCCCACACTGAAACTTGGGAGATTTCTGCCTTGGGGTGTCACTGTTCTTTCTTCCTGGCTAAACTGTTACATTATATTTCCGCTACTTCCATCACTCATCCCTTCCATATCCTCCATCAGCATCTTAGTTCTTCCTGGGCCTTCAGGGCAAACAGAAACGATTCGCAGCCATTACCAGACTGGAAAACCATCCCAGAGTTTCTTTCCCCCAAAAAACTGCACCCCGATAGTTTGCCCCACAACCAAGATGATTATCCAAATATCAGAAAGTGACTCCAAAGGAGACTCTGACTATGGATAAAGGGGGGGGGGG